AAATTAACGTCTATTTCTAATTTAAAATTTAAAATAAAATACATGACGGCGTTGTCTATGTATACTTACTATTAATTTATAACAAAAACATCGGCGCTGTATGGTATTTTCTCAGGCTTCTGTTGACTTTTTTTTATATTTTGAATTTTGGTTCACCACCAAAACGTTCTGATTTTTTAATAAAGTTGTGTTAAAAATATATGAATTTTATGAACCGGTTCCGTGTTTAAGTTTGTGGGCAGTTTACAGCACCCTTAATCATTACCCACTGTGAAAGTGCACAGGGCCGGATTTCTGAAAGTGAAATTTTTCAGAAAAAAATTTTAAGAGCAGTGCGATACATATACATGCTCGTGACATAAAAATGTTTAAGTCACTATGTTGCATTTTCAAAAAAAATGTATGAATTTTTTAAATAAAAAATAAAATGCCTAAAACGAGAGTCCATTTTCAGCGAAAACTATAACTCTTGAAAAATATCAAGGTGATCAAAGTAAATAATTAGTCGTTTTTTACTTTTGCGGTTACCAAAAATGCTGAGAATTTTCTTGGAATGAATGCCCCATATTCCTGAATATATCTATCTACCACTTACGTATTTACTATTCTAAAAATTATTAAATTAACCTAAATACTAGAGTGACTAAATAGTAAACACTAATCACTACAATGTTTGTCTAACTAAGTGTGCAACTTTACACTGACAAATCACAAATAATAGGTTCGTAATGCTGTTCCGTCCATTTATACAAAATTTTGTTCCTCTAATGCCACAATACTTTCAAAATTTTCCTTTACATTTTCGATGGGCTTATTTTTTATTTTTACCTGAAAACCCAAAGAAGATGACATTAGTAACTGATAACTACAATGACTTCAGGGAATGCCTAACAACGGCTTTTGCGAAAATTCAGGTAAATATGTACTAAATTTATTATTGTTAAAATATTTCGTAGGGGTGTATTTATCTAGGCAATTATACTAACTAATCGCAAATTTCATTAACTTTGTATTTTTTTTATAATGTGAATATGTGTTTTGTTCCATTTACGGAAGGGGCCACTGACCCTTTTGGGTATCTTTACCTGATATTGTAAATACAAATGTAAATTCAGTACTTCTGTAACCGTCCTGTATTTAAACATCGAAACCGAACGCTGTCTATTATTTCGCACACAACAAAACAAAGGTCCTTCGAGCAATATCAAAGTACAATTCGGTACTCATCAAAACCATACAATCATGGTCGTATCAACTGGATTACAAAAAACATTGGTACTACGAGCCGAGTTTCACAAAACATATTTCATTTTGAACAATATTGGGTTTATGTAATAAGCGATGCAATGCAAAACGTAAAGTTGTTGTACGGTAATAAATAAAATCCGCACAGGAAAGATAAATGACACTAATTAGTGTGACTTTTAAAATCATTGTTTTTCTGCATTACGTCTTTTTAAATTGTTGGTGTTCAAATAATTCACACAATTTAACAGATTATTTGAAACTGTAATGTGAGAAAATATAAGTAGTAATAACAAACTAAGTTTATATGGCTGAACCATGTATAAACAAAAAAAGAAAATTTGGTAAAAAACGAGTGTCTAACATGATAAAGAAAATTAAACTGCAAAATATTTAACATAAAATTGTGTTTAAATTCTAGGAGGGAGAGGCAAATATGAAAGTCTGTACCTGCCATCAGCTATTGCTATTATAATAAAAGGGATAATCCCCTGCCGAGTTCTCCGCCCTGACCAGGCTTCTTACTGACAAATACACGGCGGGGTTAAGAAACTAATGAAAGAATAAATATCTTTTTGAACGAGTACTGAATCATTTCTCAAATATTTCCAAATCCGACCTTGCACTTTAGCAGGTACGTCAACAAACCCGATTCCCTTTGGGGTACCGGGAAGGTACTGAAAAACTACCCGCAAAGTTAAGTTCCAGACCAAAATACAAAAAAGACAAAATTCATATATTCACAACTTTACATCGCTGAAAATTTTACATCCACTCTCAAATGACATATTTATGACATTAATTTTCTTACCTACCTATCTATCGGCATTATGCAAGTACCTATGAAATGTACGTCATATTGTGGATAAGATATCCACAATCACAGATCAAAATATAACCTCACAGGAAACAAACACGATTTTACTATAAAAATACATCTAATCAAATAATTGAATTAATAACTTCAAGTATTTAACAGACCCTATTTTGAGATGTGAAAACTTCGTAAAATAGAGACTAAAGTATTTGAAATTTCCACTTTCATACTTCAAGTAATTCAAGAGTATTTAAAATACCGAGTGAAGTACTTGGAGTAAAGTACTTGGCAAAATCAAGTACTAAACTCAAGTACATTTTAGAAATACTTCAAGTACCAAGTACCAAGTACCTAAATATAAAAGTACTTCAAGTAAAGTACTTGAAATACTTAAAGTACTTGAAGTATTACTTCAAGTACTTTTACTTGAAGTACTGAACAGCTCTGCTTGTCATTAATGTCATTTATAACCTGGTTTATTCTGTTGAACACAAGACATGTTATGTCTTCTTATTGCAATGGAACATTCGTAAACGGTGAATAGGTGTAGTCTATAACCGCTTGTAAGCAAGAATATCTAGCCAAATACCGTGACTTAATAATTCAAGAAACATCGTTAGAGGCTCGCATTAGAGACATAATCAACAGATTTGTTCGAACTGGCAGGGTCAACAAAGGGAAATCTACTGGAAGACCTTCAGTATCTGAGAAAGTTGTTGATGATTTGAGACGACTTGAGCAGAATCCGTAAACATCTTTGACAAGATTTCCTTAGCAGTCAGGAGTTAATGTTGTAACATGAAATCGCTTTTTTGAATTGTAATGAATTAGTTTTATTTTTTACTAAGATATGTAGCAGGAAGGCAACCAGTTTATACAGATACGTGTGGTATTTGTCGTGCGTCCTTCTGCATTTAATTTAGTAAAGTCCAAAACTGAGAGGCGGCAAGTTTTCATGACCTACACAGAAACCCTGAATAGCATATTGGCTAGCACTGGACTATTAATTAAGTAATTAGTATCCCCGTGGTTTACCAATTAAACTATTCAAAACATTCGGAAAAAAGTTATTTTAGGAATAAAATCCAAAAAAATAATAATCAATATTTTTGTGAACAATATTGAAAATTTCGATCATTAATAAAAAGGCAGATTTCTAAATCTTTCAAGAAGTATATTAGTGAAACCGAAGAAAACATCAAATCTGATCCTAAAAAGCTGTGGCCGCATGTACAAAATAAATAAATAAATCACGCATTCCAAACAGAATAAATTATTTACAAAATGAGGTATTTGAAGGATCTGCAGCCGTTGTTAATGCTGGTATCAAACTCGTTAGATCTCTAGATACTGTAGTAAGTTCAGGATTTCAAACCTTGGGTTTTATATATTGGGACTGTAAACATTTTGGAACTACGGAATATGTAAAAATTGTATGTATACTGCATTCATTAGGTCAAAACTCGAACATGGTTCACTGATTTGGTATTCCATCTATAACGTCATTTTACATTAGAAAATTTTGTGATGATGTCATCAACATTTTTGCAAGGACACGTATATGAATTTGGAATGATGGAGTCTAATAGTAAAATTGGCAGTAGTTCCCAAATTTTCGTAAAATGGTGTGTCGTTTTTGAATTAATCAGTGCAATAAATTGCTTAATTTTTTTTTGGGTTACCCTGTATAAGTAATTCTAAAAACTAGGAGTCCATTCATAAAACACAAGTATGGAGTGATCATATTTTGCATATTCCAGAGGGGATTTATACGACAAAATTTTGAGATAACGTCATCAATTTTTTTGGAGGGGATAAAAGGATAAATTTTCCAAAATGTTAAATAATTTTGATTTTTCTTTAAAAATATGAATGTTTGGGGTGAAAACTCAACGCGGATTCATACACCGCAAGTGCAGGAGTATTTTATTTTATACAAATAAAAATAAATTTATTATTGTAAGTTTTGGAGATGACGTCATGCAATTTTTGGTGGGGATGATTAGTCGATTTTTGGTTGGTGTTTGCCATCTACATGTTAGTCCTAATACGCATACAAAATTTGACAACAACTGGTCCAGTAGTTTCGAAGATTATGTCTAATGAAACTCCGTACAGACGGCAGATAGACAGACAGACAGACAGACAGACATACAAAAATCGAGAAAACAGAAGAGTCGGCCGATGGATTCGATTACAATACTTCTTGAGCTTACGCTCAGAGCTATTGCCCTTTTCTCCAAAAAAGGAATTCAATTGTATAACCATGTAATTCAATTCTGGTCCACTGCACACGCGTGCAACATGCTTGAAAGCGGTAATAATTATTTGTTAAATGTAATTAACTAACAAGGTTCATAACATCCTTTGTAAATTTTTAAGCTATTTGATGTTCACGCTTGATAATACAAATAGCGATAATTAATTACAAAGTGACAACTGTTGCGTGATTAACTGATTATGCATTCCGTTTCGTAGAATTGTAAAATATCACTAGTTCATTTCAGTGCAGCAACTTTTAAATGGAGTTTAAATTCACCTCACTATCAAAGCTGCAATGCAAATTGATTTTTAATTAGTGTTTTTAATAACTTGCAAATTTAGAGGGAAACACAGACGAGAACCTGAAGAGCGGGAACAAATGGAACCGGGGACTAAAAAGCTTGAAAAAATTAAATGTAATTCTAGTTTCTATTCAAAAATCATTTTTAGTGACACTACATAGCATTGAATCATTTTTTAATTCGTTAATTAATTTTAAGTAAAAATTGTACGTATGCACGTACGAGTAGAAAATTCGACAACGTAACTAACGTTCTGATTGGTCATCTCAAGTGTGTCCTCCGTATACAATCAAATCACGCTTTGTACTGTATTCAGTTTAATTCCGTCTAATTTATTGTTGATCCACCCCTATGAGCTAAGAACAGCGACTTACCGGTTCGTACTAGTTTGAACGTGACCCCGTTGTGTGTCTTGAGGTGTTCGTTGTATCCGGGATGCATTAGATCTTTCAAGGCCGAATCGTGCCCCGCCATCTTCTCGATGACTTCGGGCACCTTCTTGATGCGAACACTTCCGAAAAACGTTCTTCTCTTGGTGGGCGACGACTTTTCTGCGAAAAAAATCAATAGTTCTAGTTAATTTCCCCTTTGATGTACGAAACAAAGTTAGTGTATGCAAAAAACCGTCGTTATGGCTAGGTCGATACAAAATTTGCATGCATATAGGATTCAAGCCCCGTATTTGTTCGCTGTTTTCACACAATTTAAGGTAAAGTAGACGGGCGAAGCTGTGTAAATCTGCAGGTTATTAGTAGCAGAAGAGCTCCACTCGAGCTTCACCTGGTGTCACTCTTTTCGCCGACAATTTGGAGCCGTTATCCACGTTGTTGAGGCTTTTGACCGAGAGGTGGCCTGGACTGGGCTCTCTAGAGAAAAGGGTACTGAAATCTAGGGTTGTTCGGTTGCGACCTAGAGTTTTCGGGCTGGGGGACTTGCCCCGGAAGAAGGCTAGGTTCGGGGACTTTTCGGGCGTCGGACTGGTGGGTTTGGGCGACTTGTCCCGACTGATTGCCAGGAAGTCCGAGAAGGACTGTTTTCGAGCGAAAGGTTTCTCTTCGACTTTCTGCTTCTTTTTTCTCGACGGTCTGACCGGGGGTTTGGGGGACTTTTCGCGACTAGTGGAGGGCTGGTTGAGGGACTTGGATGAACTGCTGGGCTTTAGCTTGTTGAGACTGAAGACTGGCTCGCTGGCTGTCGATTGGCGGCTCTTCGTCGAACTGGTGCTCGTTGAAGGGACACTGGGGTAAGACGTGTAACTTCCGGTCGACAGGGAGGTTCTAATCGGTTTGGTCACACGGCTTGCGGGTGGGGACGAGGGGATGTATATGACTCGACCATATGACAGATATACTACTTCATCTGCCGGAGATATCACATACATGCTCCCACTGGATCCCACATCGCGAAACTGCGCACAGCAGCAGCCCCAGCACCGGTTCCAACATTAATGTGTCTCCGAAGGCGGCTGCTGGGTAACGGGGTGGTGGGAACAGTTACTCACGACGAGCACACACTCTGCCACAGCTTTACTTATTCAGGATCACTGAATTATGGAAACTCTTTCGCTTTGTCTGCGCCACCAATTAAAACTTCAAAAACTTGGGTTTACACAAGTTGACGGCCACCCTGAAGGTTCCAAACTTAAATTAGAACATGCATTGTGTTGGTTTAGATCGAATGCTACATGATTACGATTTTTTTTTATATTTTATAATTGTATTGAACGCTATTAGCAGAAATTCATAGGTACATGAAAAATTTCTTACGATGATATATACAGTTGCTGCACAGTTTTGTTGTTTAACTGTGTTAAAGTATCGATGGGTGGAAATAAAATTAGATCTGATTATAAATTTAATACCATGCGACTGGGTAAAAATGATTAGAGCGTACTGTGTTTTTGAAATTTCGTGCTTAAAAATAACTTATACATTGTACATTCATGTTAGAATCTTAACACACTGAATCGGCGGTTTTAAACCTTGACCTCATGGTGCACAAACAAAGTGAAGCTGTTTACGCTTTGCTCTTCATTTTAAACCACTTTCAGCGCTTAGCATCCCACCGAGATTAAATTAGCCACAAAAGTTAAAATTTGCATGAAACAAAATGAGCGAGCGGAGCGAGCTACTCCTAACCACAGGTCCATAAATCTTGCCAATGTATGAAAATTGGTTGAAGGTTCTTCTTTGAAAAATAAAAAAAAATGCGATTTATGTTTTCTGATAATCTCTATAGAGTTTTTCGAGTTTTGAAGTTTACATTTTTCAGTTTTTCAATTTTCAAACTTTTGCATTTTTCCATTTTTAAAGTTTTCAATTTTTCGGTTTTTTAAATTTCAATTGTTTGATTTTTCAATGTTTCTATCTTATAACTTTTTGTTTTTTCAAATTTTCAGTGTACGATTTTTGAAATTTTCATATTTTTCTGTTTCTTCAATTTTTCAATTTTTCGATTTAAAATTTCTCGAGTTTTCAACTTTTAAATTTTGAATTTTTCCAAATTTGCGATTTGTAATTTTTCGTTTCGGTTTGTTACTTTCAGTATTTTTCAGTGCTCCGATTTTATAATTTTTTGTTTCTTCAATTTAAATTTTTTAGATTTTGCGTTTCTTCAATTTATTAATTTCCAATTTTTAAATTTGTAATTTCTTTGTTTCTTTAAATTTACAAATATGCAATCCTTCGCGTTTTCATTTTTAAATTTCTGTTTTCCGATTTTCCAACATTTGGATGTTTCAATTTTTACCTTTTACAATTTTTCGATTTGAATTTCCAGGAATTTTTAATTTTTAGATTATTCAATTTTTCATTTATTCAATTTTTCATTTATTCAAAAATTTTTATTTTCTTTATTTTTTCAATTTTCCGATTTTTCACTGTTGTGTTTTTCTAATTTTTCTTTTTTTCAACTTGCAGATATTTAAGTTTTTCGTTTTTTCAATTTCAGATTTTTCAGTCTCTCGATTTTTCAATTTTTCGTTTCCTGAATATATGATTTGCAATTCTTATAGTTTTCATTTTAAATATGAAGCTAATAATAATTATGATTTAAAAATTTTTCACTTTTTCAATTTTACGATTTTAGAATTTTTCAATTTTTCGATTGTACAATTTTTGTGTTTCTGAAATTTTCGATTTGATTCGTTTTTCCCCTTTCCCATTTTTCGCGATTCCTTAAGTTTTTTCGATATTTCAGTTTCTCAATTTTTTGTTTTTCAGGGTTCCCATTTTTCGTTTCTTCAGTTCTTCGATTTGCAATTTTCCTATTTTGCAGTTTTTAGATTTTCAATTTTTCGGTTTTTCAACTTTCCGAATCACAAAAAAAAAATTAATTGCAAAATTGTAAAATCAAAAATAGAAAAACGAAAAAGCATAAAATGAAAACTTTGAAAAATGTAAAAGTTGGAAATCAAGAATTAGAAAAATTAAAAAAAAATTGAAAAATCAGAAATGAAAAAGCGAAGAAGTATAAAATGGAAACTTTGAAAAAATCTTAAAATTGGAAATCATGAATTTAGGAAATTGAAGAAACGAAAAATTGAAAACTCAAAATATTAATAATTGAGAAACTTAAAAATCGAAAAGACGGAACATCGTAAAATCGAAATATTCAAAAATTAAAGTTGAAAAAATCGGAAATCGGATAATTGAAAAATCCAAAAATTGTAACATTGAAAAATTCAAAAATTGGAGAATCGTATAAATGAAAAATTTCAGACTGAATGAACAAAAAACTATAAAATCAAAAGAAAAATTGAAAAAATAAAGGAAAAGAAAAAACTTGAAAAATCTGGAAAATGAAAAATAAGTATCCAGAACATGAAAACCTGAGGAAAAAATCGAAAAGTAAAAAGTTGGGACCCTAAAAAATCGAAAACTTAAAAGTTGAGAAACTGAAAACCGGAAAAACGAAAAATGTGTAATTGAAAAATTGAAAAATTAAAGATACCATAAACTGAAAAATTTGGAAGTTGCGGAATTGAAAAATTGGAAAACTTCATAGTTAAAAAAACGAAAAATTATGAAACCAAAATAATGGAAAATGGAAAAATTGAAGGATTAAAGAAAATTAAATAAAGAAAAATTGTGAGATCAAAAAATCCAAATTTTCGATTTTGCAGTTCATCGTCTTTTCAATTTTTCGATTCTTCGATTTTTCTGAGTTGCAATTTTTAGATTTTTCAGTTTCCCAATTTTTTAATTTACGTGAATGGAAAATGTGGAAAACATCGTAAAATTGAAAAATCAAAAATGTATAAACGAAAGAGTATAATGAAAACTTCGAAAAATTTAAAAGTGGTAATCAAAAATTTTGAAAAACTGAGGAAACGAAAAATTGAAAGTTTGAAAAAGTGCAAAATCGGTAAACCGAAACATATTGTAAAATCGAAAAAATGGATTTAAAGAAATCGGAAAATTGGATAATTGCACATCCAAAAATTGCAGAATTGAAAAATTGAAAAATTGGAAAGTCGAGGAACGGAAAAATTAGAGATTGAAAATTTGAAAAAGTAAATAAACAAAAAATGATAAAATCGAGACATTGAAAAAGTAAAAGAAATGAAAAATTTAAAACTGCTGTAAAATCGAGAAAATGAAAATTAAAAAATCTGAAAAATGAACAATAAAAACCAAGAACTTTGGAAAATTGAGAAACTGAAAAATTAAGTCAAGACATCGAAAAATTGATAAATTTAAAGTTGAAAAAAGAAAAAATTATGAAACCGGAACGTTGAAAAATGAAAGAAAATGAAAAAACGAAATATTGTGATACTCAAAAATTGTAAAATCGAAGGAGAAGGAAAAACGGAAACGAAAAATTAAAAAATTTGGAAATCAAGAATTTGAAAGAATTAAATTTGAAAAAACGAATAATTATGAAAGCGAAACATTGAGAAATGAAAGAACATTAAAAAATGAAAAATCGTCATATCAAAAAATTGGTCGAAGATAAATAAATCCAGATTTTTCGAAAAATTATAAGATTTGGATTTGCAAATTTTATTTTTTAATGATAACCCTTATAAGTTAAAAAAGATATGCGTGCAATGTTAAAGTAAGTGTAAAAAAGCGCATATCAATTTGTATAGGTGCAGTTTAATACTAATAATAACAGTATTGTATTCCCAAATTTTCGGGAATATGGAATGAGTCGTTTTTGGTTTAATCATTGCAATGAACTGCCTCGTTTATTAATTTTTTTGAGTCACTCTGTGTATGTAATTTTACATATTTCAGAGAGGATATATTAGGCAGAATTTTGATATGACGTCAGCAATTTTTTGGAAGATTTCAGAGCATTGCAAAATGTTTTTTGATTTTTTTCTAAAAAATCTGGATGTGAAGGGTGAAAACTCCACATTTATTCCTACGCCACAAATACAGGAGTGTCTTATTTTATAAAAATAAAAACATATTTACTACTGTAAATTTTGGAGATGACGTCATCAAATTGTTGGTGGCGATGATTAGCCAATTTCTGGTTGGTGTTTTACCATCTACATGATATTTCTAATATAGGTACAAAATTTGACAATCGGTCCAGTAGCGTCGATGATTAATCCCTCTAATAAAAATCCGGACAGACGGCAGACAGACAGACAGGTGGAAACAAGAGACCTATTTCTTCGTATTGTAGGGGTCATGAAAGGTCAAGAAAACACAAAAGTAGGAGAGAGTCGGCGATGGATTCGATTACAACACTTCCTTAGCTTACGCTCGTGAAGTGAAAATCGTCCAGAATTAAAAATGTTTAAAATAAAACCTCATAAATCAAAACCTTAATTTAAAGCTTTTACTATTAGTTATTGCTTTAAATGCCATATCGTCCGCACCAACTAATATCTCTGTGGGTGTTTTCCTGCGTTCGTCGGTGTTTACATCAATAGTTTCTCTAATTATATATCAAATTCCCAAATTATACGCTTTGCGAACGACACGATCGTAACAACGATTTAACAAACTTGTCGAGAATATGAGCAAAACACAATCGGAAGCGGAGGTTTAATTTAAATGCAATCATTTACACTTAAACAGGACCAGTAAACATGATTTTCTCTATTCCAGAGTTAAACCACATAGTTTTGAACTCAGAAAGCGTTAAATTTCCAGACAAATAGATCGAGTTTAAAATTTCTGAAGCTTTATATCAACCAGTCAATTTTTTTGTAGATTGCGTGGAAACCCGCACGTTTTGTAATAAATTATTAGGAATATTTTTGTCGCACAAAAAACTTACTCAAAGCGAACAACTAGGAATAAGAAAGCATATTTTTTATGATGCAAGTGTCATTATCATTAATATGTTGGTAGCTACGTATTGACTTGTTCTAAATATAGAAACTACTAACGGTGAATCAAATTATTATTATTATTATTACCTTTCAACGACAATAAAATTTCGCCACCACTCCACACAAAAGATGCATACAACTCACTTAACTAAAAACAAATGTTGCTTTAGATGCCGCATTTTACTGAACGTAGCTTTTATGAAATATGAAAATAGCGAGTTTGTTCTAAAAGCTTGGAAAGCTCCGTTCGCATCATTAAGGAAATTTTATGATCGCGTCATTAAAGCCCCGTCTTACGGCTAAAACTCTCACTATCAATTTTCTTACCTTA